TCTCCACCCATGCTGGAAATTAGAATCACTTGGGGAGATTTCAAAAATATGGATAAATTAAATCATTCCCTTGAAATGAGCTAAAAACATCACTATTTTCGTAAGCTCCTGAATTGATTTTAGTGTGAACCCAGGGTTGAAAACAGCTGGATTTGCAAATGCCAAGGTATAGTTGTTTTTTCCCTTAAGAAACATGAGTCTCTGAGTGGTGCAAGAACAAACGTTCAAATTGTTTCTCTAGAACAGAAACATTAGATGAGGGCACACAGCAGCACCACAATCACCACAGGATCCTTCCTTCCTCCCCCAAGCTGCTCCTTCTGCCCCGTGTGAAGATCTCACATGGCGTCCCAGTGCTGAAGGAGACCCGGGGGTTGTGTAATCCACAACCTCCATCCACAAGCGAAGAGACCAGAAGGAAACAGTTTTGCCCAATATCTCATGTTCACAGTAAAGGCAGAATGAGAACTGGAGTCTCTAGCCCCCTATTTCAGGGCTCCTTTCACAGAAAAATTTTGGAAGCAACAGGAAAACAGTTGGGGCAGGGAATTGGCCAAGGCATCTGAAGAGAATTTTAAGAACCAGAGAGAACACAGGAAAGAAAAAGAATCACGGCAGAGTGAGCGAGGAGAACCACCACAATCCGAATATAATGGGAAAATAAGAAGTAATACACAACAAAGAAATAAAACTGGCCAGAGAAAAATACAAGAGGGAGAACTAGCCATTGCAACCCTGTATCAGCAAAATAAGGAAAAAATTCAAGGGCATCACCACATCTTCAATCCCGGTTTGGGAAGCATGTGCAGGCATAAAATACTTTCAGAATAGAAAGTAATATGGAAACACACACTAACTGGAGGAAAATCACCAGATAGAGAGGCAGGGGCTGCCAGAAACTCCCCAAACTGTGAAATATCATCTACTACCTTGCTCAAGTTCAAGGATCAGCTGTTTCAACATCAGCTGGGAACTCAGCAAAGCAGTACCTCTGGCCCCATCCCAGGACTGCTAAATCAAGCTCTGCACTTTAATAAGATCTCCTCACAATTTAGATACATATTCACATTCGAGAAGTACCAGCTCTGCTGTAAGAGCCAGACTGAATTGTGAAAACAAGTAGCTATCACAGGCAGAAGTGGGGACTAAAGAATTAGGTAGAATTCAGTCTAATTAAATTACATGTTGATGTTCCACGATCTGCCAGGCCCTCATCTGGGTATTTCAGGAAATGAACGCCGGAGGTTAGGCATGGTTAGCGGGACACCGTTAGGGGAGAATGCAGAAAGGGAGACAATGCCCCTGTGCTTCAAGGGGCCACGCGAAGTGCTACAGGGTTTGGAGGAGCGGTAGCTGGGGTTCCAAGGTGCACGGAACCACTGCACTGACTCCCTGGCAGGGTAGAAATGGTTATGGGGAAATGGCAGGGCCTAGTCTAGGCAGAGGGAACAGCATAAGCAAAGATGCAGAACTCAGAAGCCTGCTGTGTGTTGAGGGAACACTGCCTTCTGCCTAGAGCAGTGTTTCCCAAACTGTTTCAAGGAGACTCAGGACTCTCTGATGACTACGAAGGGTAGGGATGGGAGGTCAGTGGGGTTGCTGGGACCCATAAGATTATATTTTAACAGTGGATTCCACCACTGAAAAAATGTGCAGCATAGCACTGAGCTAATACACAAGGCACTTCTAAAAGTATTACCTACAGCCGTGCCTGGCATTCAGCAGGCACTCAAATATTCATAGAATGAATGAATGAATGGAGTGAATGAGTGAATCTATGAGATCAAAGTAAAAAGGTGGAGCCACTTTTGGCCTGGGCTGCAAAGGGTCTTAAAATGTCAGAGATTAGGTTTATATGTTATTTGGTAGGGCACTGAGGAAAAGTTTATTAGCCAGTGACTGAGCTTGGCTCTGCTTTAAGAAGCTTATTCTGCAAACCAGGTGTAAAATGGATTGGAAATGAGAGAGATTGGATCTGGGAAACTAGTCAGGAAGATATCAGGGTAGTGTCTAGAAAGAGTTAAGAGTCTGAAGAAAGTCCCTATGGGAATAAAAAGGTGGAAAAGCAGGTATCATCAGACATCAGATAGAGATGGAGTCCATGGGACTTATCTGCGAATTATATTTGGGAAGCAGTGATATTGGGAAGGTCCTGGGTGACTAAGAGAAAACAGAAATTGACAGAACCACCTCTTTTCATGTAAGAAGAAAGATGTGGATTAGAGTTTAAACCTGTTTAAGGCACTTGAGAAGACTATAGAGGGATCTTGCAGATGATTCAAATTGTCAATATAAAATTTAGGAGGGAAAAGAGAGATAGGAATACCACTTTGGGAAAATAATCTAGCACTAATAAAAGAACATCACTGAATAAAAAGTAACCTGCAAAAAGGAGATCTATAAAGCAAAGAGGATCAAGAGAAAACTGCAGAAAAAAAATGAAAAAGCAAAGGTAGGATGAAAAGGCGATATTGAGACACACAGGAAGAGACAGGACTGGGGGAGATGGCAAAACAGAGATGGTGAACTGGGGGGTGGGTGTTACAATAAAAACCCAGAAGTAAAAAGCAGTGGGAAACTGGGACAAACATGTTCATTGTCCTTTAGATCCTGGAAGACACAGGATCTTATAGGAACAGCAGAAAGCCAATTTTGCCCTTCACTTCTGTGAGCAAAGATTTTCATAAATGAAGCAATTACTCCTGTGAGAAAAACTAATTGTTCATATTTTTTAATATAAATTGTTGCTATTAAAAATCATGCAATGCTATCTTCAAATTCAGCTGGAGGAAAATCTAAACTAACAGGAGGCAGTTGAGGGATTTAAGACTCTTTCTCTCTTCCATGGTGGAAGAATAATGCTCCACACAGCATTATTCTCCGTAGACATTTCACCTTTTGGAGGTGTGTTTGTTTACCCACATTTTTTTTTTCTCGCTGAGCTAGGTCATTAACCTGAGGAAAAGAGCACTGAGAACACCTGATAGACTTTTATAAATCCTCATATAATAGTTAACACTTGGTAAAGTTATCCTCTAACTGCTGACAGGTCTAATTGGCCATGTTTGGGTGACAAGTACTAATGACAGTTCCTTCTCTGGTTTGATGGCAGAAGAGACACCTCCCTTGGTTTCCTTTCTGCCTCAGTTCAAGAAGGATACATTAAGTTCACTGTTCTCTTTTTGCTCTGTGAATCCATATATTTGGGAAAATGCTATAAAATATCGACGTACTTTTCTTTCATATAGATGCTGCTTAGTGGTTAAACTTTTATAAAGACACCCTTACTTACGTAATGTAAAATAATATAATGCAAATGAAGTACATAAGGAATTATGCTGCAAAACATTCCAGGGAAGGCAGTAATTTTTCCTTTGTTAAGAGAATTCACCTTCTCAAAAGCATTTTACTACAAACGCATCCAAGAGAGGTCAAGGAGATCTACAAGAATAGCTATTTGATTTGTGGTTTTCATTCCAAGCTTCCTCAAATCACTTTTGGAAATGAGTAGCAGTGTGAATTATAAATCCACAAATATTTGATTTATGGGGATAAAGAATCTGAACTACAACCAACACTTTTGAGTAAATAAACATTTTTCCCCCACCTTAAGAGCCACAAGTAACAAGAGAATTCCAATGCAGCATTTGCATTCTAAGGGCATTTATCTATTACAGGGAAGGGGCAGCACATACTCAATGCACAGATGGCATCAAAATAAGATGAAAGGACTATGAAAACCGGTGAAATAGGATCCTGAAATATTTAAGGGAGTGCTTTCAAGCCAAAACCTTTAACTTTACCTGAGATGTAGCTATTGACTTTATGAAAAGCCTTCTTTTTAATTTGATAAATGCACTTTCTACGGCTGCATGCATTGTTCTGAAGCTGCCAGTCTCCAAGCTTGAGGCTGGACCCTACGTAACACGAATGTTTTATTTCTTCTATTTGAGCATTGTTTGCTACATCTTAACAAAGTTTGCATTCACCTTGGTGTGATGCTCCTGAGCAAAGCAAAACCAGAGAGAAATGCAAACCACATCTCTGTATGAAAATAAAATGAAGATGACGTTTCCTAACCCAAGAACTTCTGAGAGCATTCCAAAACTGTGTTTATTTTGTATCATGGGGGCCAAGGGCTTGATGGCAATTTATTTTCCTTGAAGGACTACAACACTCCCCCATCCAGGTTCACCGTAAAAACTGTTCGTCCTCCAGAGCCTGGGGAAACATTTGGGGAAGCATCGTCCTGCCAGTTCTCCCTTCTTTCCCCACGGGCCCCCGCAAATAACAGTAGCGAAGCAGATGGTCCTCCCCCTCCCCTTCGCCTTGTCCCTTCCGCAGTCCCACAGTGTCCTCCCATCTCGCACTGACACCTTCACCCAGCGCCCCCGCCCCCCACCCCAGGCTCCCAGTAAGTGCAAACTTTGGGGACCTTCTTTCTGCCTCACCGCCCCCATTTCCCCTTCTTTCAGCTGCAGAACTCTCTCAGAACCCCAAGTTTCGACTCCTATCTTCCTCCCACATCTCCCCAAACTACCCATTTCCCTGTAATGAGAGAGAAGCCCAGCCCCAAACTTCCCAGCCCAGGTGACGGAGGCCCTGCGGCTAACCACAGAGGGGCACTCTCCTTGTCCTCTTCCCTTCTCCATCCTCCCCTCCGTCCTTGGGAATCGGAGCCCCGGAGCCCACACTGGGGACTCCTTCACTCCTTTGGCTTCCACGACCTACTCCTAACTCCAGGGGCTCACAGGAGCCTCACGCCACAGCCCGGGCAAGCGGCGGCTCGGCATCCTCCTCTACAAGTGGGACCGCCGGATAAAGTGCAAACTCCAGTGGGAGGGGGCTCCCGGCCATTCCCTCGGGCGGCGCGCCCCCAGGCCGGCTCGCGCCCGGAGGAGGCGGGCGGGCTGGGGCGGGGAGGCGGGCGGGCTGGGGCGGGAAGGCGGCGCGGGTACCAGGGGCGCCGGGCTGGGCTGGGCTGGGCGCCCGGAGCTTACCTCGGCGCGCCGGCCGCTGGCGCGTGGGGCAGTGGCTCCTCCAGCCGGGAAGCTGTTGCTCGCGCTCCGGCGGCTGCGGCGGTCCCTCCGGGGCTGCGCTGGGGCTCCGCGCAGACGCTCTCCCGCTATCTATTGCAGCCCCGGGCGGCGGCGGCGGCGCCGGCGACAGCTCGGCCCCGCGCGGCCCCGAAACTGTCCAACTCTGGCGGGCGCCGGGCTGAGGTTCCCGGCTGCGGCCCCAGCGCTGAGCGCCTGCGCGCCCTGCCTCGCCCAGGTGAGGGGCGTGTGCCTGGAGCCCGCGGGGCGCGCCCGGCCCTCTGGCCCGGCTCACGACCCCGGGGTTTGGACCCGTCGACGCCACTGCCGCGCGCCGAAGCTGGTGACGGTTTACCAGACAGGGACTTGCGAGGCACACACACTAGGGCGAATGAGGCGGGACCGTTCGGGGGCCCGTTGCCACTGCAGAGTCTCCCGCAGCATCGCCGCCTATAAATCCCGCCTTTCCAGGCGTGCGCGCACTGCGAGGGAGAGGAGGCTCCGTCCCGACCGGGGCTCCGCGCTGTCCTCGGCCTCGGGGCTCCAGCCCCTGCAAGAATTCTTGGCAACGGCCGAGGTCCCGAAACCCGGATGCCAAGCGGCGTGGTGGGGCGGATCTGTCAAATATTAGTCAAGCCAGAGTGAAACTCTCTTCTTGGAGATCGTCAGACCAACTATTTGTTTTTCCTCTTTGACCAGCTCTCGGCTCAAAGACCACACTGAGCAGCCTGGGCATTTTTGGCGGAGCCGGGAAGGCCCGCAGCGCGGAAAGTATCGCAGCCGCGCGGCGGATCGGAAAGGCTTGCGGGTGGGGGGCTTCTGCTCCTCTGGATTTCTTTCCGTGTTTAAGTTTTCAAGACTAAAACATGTCATCGGTTACCCCGATGTGGGGCATCTGCTGAAAGTAGTGCAAACAGCCAAGGTGCTGGGTTCTGAAAGGGAGAGCGCTTGGAAAGAAAACATTTAAGGGGCAAGGAAAAATAATTTTAGAAGAGCAGTTTCCTGAGATTACTTCTTTAGCTGCAGAAGTTCAGGAGTAATAAATGACAAGAGAGCTGAGCAGAGATTTTTTTTTTAACAAGTGATTTTAAAATATTATTCTTTGGTTTTCTTCTCAGATGGCTGACACTAACTCCATCAATAATTAAGCCCGCAGCTGTTAATGTCTTGGCATAATCGTCCAGAGTAAATATCTTAGCGTCCAGCCAAAGCCGGTGCTGCTCTCCAGGGTGGGTTTGAGATTTGACAAGCACACGCACAGCATCCTAGAGCTTTCTAAAGGAGCAGGTTGTGTTTATTACCCACCTTGGAATTTAGGGTTATTGCAAGGACCAGCACACCTGAGCTACCAGCAGGAGAAGGAGCATCAATCTGACAAATAGTTTTTATATATTGAGAATTCTAAATATCTTCATATCCAGGTATGCATTCTCACTGACTCATAACTAAGGACAGACACTTACTTCTTGGTATGTTTATTCTTAAAACTGTTCCCTATTTGAAACTGCTATATACAGAAAGCAAGCACCAAACTTAAATCATTAGAACCCACATATCATGAGTTATAATTGCTTGTTATCTTTTACAAAATTATGGCCTTAAGGTCTCCTCCCATCAGTGAAACTTACACTGAAAACAAGTCTTTCATGAGTCCCTGACGGTCAGTAAGGTGGGGTTCTGGCAGACTGGGACAGGCAGGAAATTCCAGAGGCAAAAGCCTTCCTTGAGAAAAACACCCAGTTCCAGTGCCCTGCACTTCAGAATTGGGAACAGTGTGGTTGCTCCTGAGCTCAGATAAGTATTGGTATCTCTAGCTATCTAAGGTAAAGGGGAAAGGGACAAGGGCCCACGTCAACACCTTGGATTGCACTTGGAGGCAAATGAGTAACCTCTGCCGAGTGGAACACCTGTGAGAAGTGTTCTCTGTGGCTTGCACAATTTAGCAGCATGTGCATTTTTTATGTCCTGCAAACTGCAACTATATCCTTCTCTCTTCCCTGTCTATTTTTAATCACCTATAGCAGAGACTTATGGTGGAGACTAATTTGAGGGCTACATTTCCTAACTACAGCTGAAAGCAGCATAAGATACATGCAGACAACTCCCCATTTTTTACCTGTGACACCACTAAGAACTGTGCCTTGTGTCCTTAGCCAAGATAGGATTCAAGTCTCCAGAGGCTCAAGCCCTGGAAGGATTACAGTGCCTCCCTTCTAAATATACTGCAATATGGAAACAACATTAAACTAAAAACACACAAAATTTCAATATATAGAAACAACAGCTTCTCTCTAGATTTTCTGACTGCAGATGTGCACTTATTGGGTACATTGGCATAGCCGGTGCCTTTCCAGTGGTATCTGATATAGGGGGTCCTCCTGTCCTCAAACTCTTGCACCATCATTTTCCTAGAACCATCATTACTCATTCCTGGCAATGACGGTGTAAACCAACTCAGAGAACTCTTAGCTATAGGCGCGGAGCACTGGGAAGACTGTCAGAATAGCAGCAACACAGAGAGATGCGCAGCAAGAAGAGGTCCCTAAACAGTGAGGCGGAATGTAGCAGAAATATTTATTTAAGCTTTTTTCCTACTAGGTGTGTTTACGAAGTGTGTGGTGCTTTGGTTCCTAAATATTGATGAACTTGGGCAAACTCCTTTTTAACTATGTGCACATATGGGACACCTGGCTGGCTCAGTCAGTAGAACATGTGACTCTTGATCTCGGGGTCAGGAGTTCAAATCCCATGGTGGGTGTAGAGATTAGTTTAAAAAAAATGAAAACTAAACTAAACTAAACTATGTCCACAGAATCAGCCTACCCGCTGGATAAAGAACTTGGGGATAAGAACAACATCAACCAATTGGAAGATTTCATAAATCACTTAATTTTACTCATTAAGAAATGGGTAAGAATTTCCACAACAAGATGTTATAAAACAAGGCCCTAGAGCTATTTTAGTTTGCTTTGCAGCCATAGGAACACTCTGGGCAGGGCTGAGGGCCATATTTTTGAAACCCATTCTTGCAGTGGAAGGAAACTGAACTAGAATAGAAAACTCAAATTCTGATTTCAGCTGTCACCCTTCAGCCTGGAGACCTCAGTCTCTTCATCTGTGAGACAGGACAAATATATCAGCCTTGTCTCAATGGGTCACTGCAATGCTTGGAAGGCAATGTTATAGGCAACACTTTGGAAACCGTATGGGAATGCAGGTACCAATGCTTGCTCATTGTCTTGCTCGTATTTTGCTCTTCCGCCATTGCTTACTAGATATACTGCAAACTTTCCCTCCGAATATCCTTTTTTTAATAAAGATTTTATTTATTTATTTGAGAGAGAGAGAGAATGAGAGACAGAGTATGAGAGGAAAGAGGGTCAGACAGAGGGAGAAGCAGACCCCCCCCGCTGAGCAGGGAGCCCGATGTGGGACTCGATCCCGGGACTCCAGGATCATGACCTGAGCCGAAGGCAGTCGCTTAACCAACTGAGCCACCCAGGCGCCCTCCCTCCGAATATCCTTTAACGCCTGTGTAGTTTTTTATATAATCTCCACTATGAATCTTTCCTTATAAACTCTTTCAGATGGCTCCAGTATCATGTAATGTGGAAAGCACAAGTTCTAGTGTTGGAGCAACAGGGCTTGAGCCCCGTTCCCTCTAAACTTCAATGTCCTCGTTTGTAGTATGGGAAAAGAAATATCCTGTCTTCGTAGGTTATCCTGAGGGGCAAAGCAAATAGGAAAATATTTTTGCAAACTGTACAATATCTGACAAATGTCCATTGCAATTTACTTCAACAACTATTCGGGAAATAAATAGGAGTTTTATCTCCATATTGGGCAATAAGATCTAAAGTGTCTTAGAAATACAACAACAAAAATTGTATCTGAGACTTTCAGAACAACTTAGAACTACATAAAAGACAGTAAACCTTGTTTTAAGAGGCTACTAAATTACAGTTGTTTCCATGCATCCCTGAATATTACAAATACCAGGAAATCTTTTATTTCAACTTCCACATACTATGAGAAATTAATGGACTAGTTGTTTTAGTTGACATTTGTTCTTTTTTTTTAAACTCATTATATCTTATTGTGTCATTGTGCCCTACTTGTGGGAAGGACACTGTATTCTTTGCTTTCTTCTTTTTTTTTCATTGAAGTATTGTTGACAAACGTTGCATTTAGTTTCAGGTATACTACATAGTGATTTGACAACTCTATACATTATGCTACACTCACCGCAAGTGTAGCTACCATCCGCCACCATACAATGCTATTATAACACCATGGACTATGTTCTCTGTTCTGTACATTTCATCCCTGTCACTTATTCATTCCATAACTGGAAGCCTGTATCTCCCTCTCCCCTTCACCCATTTTGCCCATTCCCCCGCTTCCCTCCCCTCTGCAACCATCAGTTTGTTCTCTGTATTTACAGATTTGTTTCTCCTTTTTGTTCGTTTTTTCATGTGTTTGTTCATTTGTTTTGTTTTTTAGATTCCACATATAAGTGAAATCATATGGTATTCATCTTTCTCGGATTTATTTCACTTAGCATAATACCCTCTGGGTCCATCCATGTTGTAATGAAATTTGTTCTTAAAAGTGCCAACTCGGGTTCAGCAAAAAAATGTATATTTCTTCAAAGTCATGATAATAATTATTTTAAGAATGTCTGCCTACTCAAGATGGGTAACAGCTGAAACATGTTGAGGGCTTTTATGATCAGGTGATTTTCATATCATTGTCTTTCTTTTTTTTCTAGTTTTATTTTATTATGTTAGTCAACATATATTACATTATTAGTTTTTGATGTAGTGTTCCATGATTCATTGTTTGTGTATAACACCCAGTGCTCCATTCAATACATGCCCTCCTTAGTACCCATCACCAGGCTAACCCATCCACCCACCCCCCTCCCCTCTAAAACCCTCAGTTTATTTCTCAGAGTCCATAGGCTCTCATTGTTCATCTCCACCTCATATTTCCCCCTCTTCATTTTTCCCTTCCTACTATCTTCTTCTTTTTTTTTAACATATAATGTATTATTTGTTTCAGAGGTACAGGTCTGTGATTCATCAGTCTTACACAACTCACAGCGTTCTCCATAGCACATACCCTCCCCAGTGTCTGTCACCCAGCCACACCATCC